AGCATCCGTAACCCCATTCAGATCTCCGTGGTCAAGTTCCTCCTCATTGGGCAGGATGACAAGGGGCCCAAGGTCACCAGCAACGCTGCCCTTACCCTCCGCAACTTCTGCGCCTGGCAGAAGAAGTGGAACAAAGTCAGCGACAAGCACCCCGAGTACTGGGACACCGCCATCCTCTTCACCAAGCAGGTGGGTGCAGGGGGGTGGTCTGGAGGAACTGTCCCCCATTTCAAGGAGCCCTGCACTGTGCTAAGGCGTTCTGCCATCTGCACCCCACCTCTGTGGTGCTGCACGAGGGAGGAGGTTGTGCTTCTGGCCGATTCCCCTTTCCCAAGGGAACCCCCACTCTCAGATGCTGTGGTGGGGTGGAGCAGAGGCATGGAGCCAGCCCTTGCTGTCCCCTGGGCAGGTTTTGGCCAGCAGTCTGGAACAATCCCTGCCAGGGGATAAATGAGGCCAGGAGGTGCCCAAAGACAGGTTGCCCCACAGGGAGAAACCTTCTGCTTCATCCCCTGTCTCCTGGCAACCAATGCCCTGCGGCTCTGGCTTCCAGCAGCCACCACTCTGAAATGAGGGGGCTGAACCCAGAAGAGGAGGAACATGGCCCCGCTTCCCCCTCCCCAGTTGGGAAGAGCTTCTGGTGCCACCTGCCAAGAAAAATACCTCTCCCTGCTTCCTCTGACTCATGCATGAGGTCCTCCTGAGAACCTGGAGCTCTCCTCCATGCTGGCTGCGCTGTTCAGGGCTGGAAGTGAAGCACCAGAGATTCAGCCAGTGCTACAGCCATGGGCTACAGGGGAGGGGGGACAGGGGAAAGCGTCCCCCACATCTGCTGTGGGCTGGACACATCCCTGTGCAGGGAGAGGGGCTTTGAGCTTCCTTTGGCACAGGCTCTGCAGGCAATGTGGGGTGTGGGATGAACTCTGCCTCCTTCCACCCCCACAAACTGGGTGATACTGCTCCAACAACCTACTTCCAATGCTCCTCCTTCCTTGTGGTCCTGTTCCAGCGTGGACATCAATTCAGTGCCTGCATCCCGAAATCACTGATGGGATGGGAGGAGGATGAGCCCAGCTTGGAGAGTACAGTAACATCCTACCCTGGCTGCAGCAGGCTTTGGCAGCAAAGGCTTCTTCTCCTTTCGCTAGCCCTGACGAGATGTTTTTGGATTAGGGACAGGTCAGGCACTCCTCTCAATGGCAGGGAGACCATTCCCAAAACATCTCTGCAAGTCAAACACTTCTGAGTGGGAAGGATATAACATCCCGCTCAGTTCAGCTGTCCCTAGGCTGAGGTCAGCGTAGGCTGACAATGGCCCTGGAGCAGGAGTGATGCTGTGCAGGACGTGCAAGACCTTGTCCTTCCCCTCTTCTTGTCCCCCTGCCCCGGACCAGCTGTGAATCCTGCGGGAGCACAGGCAGGATTGAAGCCCCGGCTGCTGGAGCAGCTCCTGCCTACATGGGGAGGCTTGAAGAAGTGGACACTGCTAACAGCCCTGCAGGGATGAGCCAGCTCCATCTCTGGTGGGAACCTGGTGAGGTCACCAGAGCTGCAGGTGGGACAGAGCCGGTCCCAGTGATCCAAAAGCTGTCGATCATGGCTGGGCTGCATTTTTTACACATTGCTAAACCAGCCATTCTTGAAATCCCAAAGCAAGCTCCGTGCACAGGCACACGATCGATGAGACATCTGCCTTTCTTGAGTGCATCCATCTGTGGTCCCCTGAAACCTTGAAGCTTATCTCCCTGCCAAAAAGCTGTTACATAAGCCCCTGACTCAAATTTCACCTCCAGCCCAGTTGATAGGCAGTTTCCAGTTATGTCAACGAGTTGCTGATGAATGGGGCTGTCCTTTCCTGCTTGGCTTTGCTCCCTCCCAACATCAGTCGTGCTGGATGGTGGATTTGCCTTTGGGGAGCTCAGTCCTGAGCCACCTGAGCTGGTGCTGTTGGAGGGTCCCGCAGAGCATCCAGCCTTCAGCTGCCCTCCTGTCTCTTGGAAATATTCTTGCACGGCACAGCAGAGAGCTCAGCCATTCTTCCCACCCATCCTGGACCAACAGATGTTTGCTGAACATCTTTGCTGTGCTGTAAAACCGAAGGGGTGCTGCATGAAGGAACTGCAGTGTAGCAGATGCTGCAGGGGAGTTTGGAAATGCTGTAGCTCAAGGCTCAGCTTTTTGGAGTTGCTTTGGATGCCCACAGGAAGCCTCCATGGAAGGGAGAGAGAGCTTATGAGCTGGTCTCTGAGTAGGTGAATTAATGCACAAGCCACAAGGATCCTCGCAGCTGACTTGGAGAACATCTTGAAGTTCACAAGGGATGAGGAAAAGGGATGAGGAAGGTCCCACAGAGGAAGAGTCAAGCTGTCAGGAGAGTGCCAATGGTGCATTCAGCAGGTTGTCTGCAGCCCTTTGGGGCACTGAGCATCCTCCCCGTGTCTGTGCTGTCAGCGGAGGATATCAGGGATGGTGAGCAAAGGCAGAGCCGGCACTCTGCACGCTTTCCTGCCTTAAACCTCTTCCAGTTCTCTCTCCTCCCTTCTGTAGCTCCATCCTTGCATTGCCTCTCCTCCTGAGCAGGCTTATGCCCAGCAAGGCTGGAGGAGGTGTTTTATGGGGCTCAGCACCCCTCATTAAAGCCCAGAGATGCTGCCTGGCGTCCCTTGGCCGCCCCAAGGAGGTCGTGGTGGGGGAATCAGGGCGTACCCGGTGACGAGCTGCTTGTCGTGTATCCCAGCTGGTGAGGTTCAGAGCCAGAAGTGGGTCAGTGTGTCAGTGCAGGTGTTAGACCGGGAGCCAAAATCTCGCTGCGCCTGTGAGGGAACTCTTCAAAGAGCGGCCACCTTGTCCCCGTGATGCTCTGTCATCCCTCCCCACGCACCTTCCTTACCCCCAAACACTCAGCACTGGGGAGAGCATGGGCGGGGGGGCCTGGGCCAGCTGCATCCCTGGGTTAGCTCAGCATGGTGATGGCACTGGCTCTTGGTGGTGTTTTGGGACTGGGGACCCTGTGCTTGGGCTTGTCAGCACCATTAATCACCCCATGCCCACTGGTGGTGGCCCTGTATGGGGCTGTGGGTTTGGACCTGCTTCTCCCTGCCAGCATTGAGGCAGGGGGTGGGATCAGGGATGCAGCAGGGTCCCAGCTGATGGGGAAAGTGTTGCAGAGCAAAGTGCTGAACCCACTTGTATGACGGGGTGTTCCACCACCAGCCCAGACCCAGACATTTCTTCACCTCTCTGAAGATCACGGTCTTGCCTGTGCCTCAGGTCTCCTGCTAAAGCCATCTCAGCCCTGGCCAGGGCTCTCTGAAGTCATCAGGACTGTTATTTACCCGCAGCTGAACCTGCCTGCACGGGAATGCCTTTCAGCTTGGAAACCTTGCTGGAAATGTTGGCAGAGCAGCTCCTGCAGGATTTTGAGCAGCCCAGGCTCTTTGGCTGGGCGAGCGTTGAGCATGAATCACACTTATTTATAGCATGGAAGCGCCCCTTGAGTCCCTTACGTTTTCTTTTCATGTGGAAAGCAGCTCCCTGCACCCCATGTAGCCTCCCCAGCAACTTTGGGACAGGACCGAGGGATGGAGATGGTGCTCTACCCCTATCAAAACACTGATGCACCCCAGCAGGGGAAGGGAGCACCTGAGGGCAAGGTTATTACCAAGCTGCAGCAACGGTGTGTCTTAAATGGACTTTTTATTTACACAAGCACCTTTGGATCCTGGAGAAGGGTAGATTCACCTACAACAAGATCCTTTCCATCCTCTCCCCTGGCAGCATCTGTGTGGGGTCAGGCTGTCCTCAGTTTGGGGGTGGAAGGCTGGGCTAATTCCTCTTGCTTGCTCCTTGAGGGATGGCTGCGGAGTGTCTTGGAGAGGCAGGAGCGCTTCCTTTAGCCTTGGAAACCTCTGGCCCTGGACCAGTGGCTTCTTCTTCCTAGGAAAAAGTTGAGAAATGAGGTTGGGAAGTGGGTCAGCTGTGGGTCCAAGGCCAGATGTAGTCCCATCCGCTCACCTGGGTCTGGTCCTTGAGCTCACACTTAAGAAGATGGGAGCCAGACTGGCTTCTCCACGCTGAAACCAGCTCCGCCCTGGCTGGAGGAACTGTTTGGGTGGGAAAAGCTGTTGCTGAAGGCACAGCAGGATGCTAGACACACCCCTGGTGCCAGGGTTAAATACAAACATACCGTTGCAGCCTGGTCTGGGTCAGGATTCAAATTTCCTGCCTCTGTGATTTCCATCCCTTTGTGCTTTCTCCCCCTCAGCAGCGCCCCTTGGGGTACCAGGTACGGGGTGCGGATGGGGAACTGCAGTACCTGTGCCGTCCTCAGAACTAACCTCTACCCTTTGTGCCTGGCAGGACCTATGTGGTGCCACCACCTGTGACACTCTGGGGATGGCAGATGTGGGCACCATGTGTGACCCCAAGCGCAGCTGCTCTGTCATCGAGGACGATGGGCTGCCCTCAGCTTTCACCACCGCCCATGAGCTGGGTAAGGCTCCCTGCTCTCCTCTCCTTCTTGGGAGGAATTACAGGAGCTGGCAGGGCTCAAAATAACCCTGGTTTTGTCTTCTGGAAGATGAGACAATGACCGGTGTTGGGTGATCGGAAAACTCCACCTCGGGGCACGAGACTGCACCCAAGCCAGGTGGAAAAGGGTAGCTGAGGAAGCAGAAGGCTTTGCTGTTGTCGTTGCTACCACAGTGGGTTTCCAGGATTCAGGAGTCCTGAAATAACAGGCAGAGGGCACAGCTGGGAGGAGGAGGAGGGAGGGGGGAGAGTGCTGGAGTCACCTTCTTTTTGCAATTTCCCTTGTCCTTCCTTTCCTGAGTGCTTTCCTCATGCACAAAGCACCTGGGAAAGAACTGGAAAGCTCACTGGCTCTCCTGGTCTGCCCACAGCCATTGTAATCCTTGCAAGGGCCTGCACCGCTCCGTGCCTCAGTTTCCCTTGTTGCAGGAAGCTGTGGGGGCCCTGCTCTGCCTGGCCTGCACGGTTATTCACGCTGCCCCCTTTGTGCAACCCCAGGCCACGTCTTCAACATGCCCCATGACAATGTGAAGGCCTGTGAGGAGGTCTTCGGCCAGCTGAAGACCAACCACATGATGTCCCCCACCCTCATCCAGATCGACCGGGCCAAACCCTGGTCAGCCTGCAGCGCTGCCATCATCACTGACTTCCTCGACAGTGGCCACGGTGAGCCCTCCTGTGCCCCTCGCCCTCTTACCTGTGTCTCTGCCCTGTGGGAGCAGGGTCCATCCCTGGGTGTGTTTACTGGGAGACATGGGGGGCTGTAGAGCAGTTCTTCTCCTGGCTCTGCAAACAAATTCAGAAGGAAAGGGGGAGTTTGGCAGCATTTCTGTACCATCCAGGCTTCCTAGGTGCTGGGGTGCCTTCAGCAGTGACATCTGTGCTGAGGCTGCTGGCACAGCTCCACAGCATCACCAGGAGATGAAGTCACTCGGGTCTGGGATGCAGCTGACCTCAAGGGTATCCCTGGGGTAGCACCTGGATAGCTTTGGCCAAATTTCCAGCAGCCATCCCTCACTCTCCCTTCCCACACTGGTCCATACAACTCCCCCAGGACCTGGTAGACCCTCTCTCCCTCTCCATTCCTGCAGGGGACTGCTTGCTGGACCAGCCCACCAAACCCATCCCACTGCCCGAAGACCTGCCGGGGACAAGCTACAGCCTGAACCAGCAGTGTGAGCTGGCCTTCGGGGTGGGCTCCAAGCCCTGCCCCTATATGCAGTACTGTGCCAAGCTCTGGTGCACGGGTAAGGCACGTGGGCAGATCGTGTGCCAGACTCGGCACTTCCCCTGGGCCGATGGCACTGGCTGTGGCGATGGGCGCTTCTGCCTGAAGGGAGCCTGCGTGGAGAGGCATAACATCAGCAAGTACAGGGTGAGTACCTGTGCTAGGAGCCCCAAAAACATCCCCTGGGGTCGCTCCGAGTGGGTGCTGGCTGAGCAACTCCTCCACCTCCTGGTGCTGGGAACCCAGCGTGAGGTGACTGATGTGGGAGGAACTGGACATCCTCTGTGCGGCCTCACCTTGAATATTATGGCAGTTTTGGGCACTGGAATATAAGAAAGATATTAAGCCATTAGAGAGTGTCCAAAGATGGAGATGGGCCATGAGGGGAAGCCGTGTGAGGAGCAGCTGAGGGCACTTGGTCTGTTCAGCTGGAGGAGACTGAGGGGAGACCTCATTGCAGTTCCAACTTCCTTGGGAGGGGTGGAGGAGGGGCAGGCCCTGAGCTCTGCTCTGTGTGACCAGTGACAGGACCCCAAGGAATTGGCCTGGAGTTGTATCAGGGCAGGCTTAGGTTGGATCTTAGAAAAAGGTTCTTCCCCCAGAGGGTGGTCGGGCACTGACCAGGCTCCCCAGGGCAGTGGGCACGGCCCCAAGGCTGCCAGAGCTCCAGGAGGGTTTGGATGATCCTCTGGGGCACAGGGTGTAACTCTTGGGGATGGGCCTGTGCAGGGCTGAGGGTTGGACTCGATGATCCTTGTGGGGCCCTTCCAACTCAGCACATTCTGTGATTCTGTGGTATTTCTCAAAGAGTGATGCTGCTGCTCTGCTCTGGTCAGCCCTGGGCAGGTTTGGGGGCAGCTGGAGGTTTTGCTGGTGAAGGGATGGAGATAGTGAAGGGGATGCAGCATCTCATCCCCTGTATCCCCTCAGGTGGACGGTGGCTGGGCCAAGTGGGCTCCCTACGGGCAGTGCTCCCGGACGTGCGGTGGTGGGGTGCAGCTGGCAAAGCGGGAATGCACTGACCCGGTGCCGGCCAATGGGGGCTCCTACTGTGAGGGAATCCGCGTCAAGTACCGCTCCTGCAACCTGGAGCCCTGCCCTGCTGCAGGTAAGGGGCTGGAGCTCAGCTTGAGCTGTGACAACCCCATAAAACCAGAGCTGGAGGTCCAGGCTGGTACTCAGCCCCACATCCCTATTTTTTCCAGTGCCAGGGAAGAGCTTCCGTGAGGAGCAATGTGAGGCTTTCAATGGCTACAGTCACAGCACCAACCGCCTCACTGCCTCCGTCTCCTGGGTCCCCAAATACTCCGGAGTCTCACCCCGGGATAAGTGCAAGCTCATCTGCCGGGCTAATGGCACCGGCTACTTCTACGTGCTGGCACCCAAGGTAGGTGAGAGACCCCCAGAGTCAGCACCTGGGCTGTGGGATAACTCCAGTGAGTCTGGAAACGAATGAATTTTCTTTGTCTGGTGGGTGGATGGTGTTAGATGAGGTGGTAGAGGAGGGGAATCCACCAGGCTGCTATGAATCAACTGTATATGTCTGCTTTACCTCAGGGTTAGAGTTGATCCAGAGGTCTTCCTCTGGGTTTGTAAAGGTGCCTCTGGGATATTCCCACAGTCCTGGAATAGAGGATGATAATTATGGTGCTGGGGAAGCGATGTGCAGGACAGGGTGGGCATCCGGACATGGGTCTGAGTGGGGTGATGTTATGGTGTCCCTGCAACGGAAAGGACAGGAAATTCTATAGACAGAGCAGAAAAGGGATGTAGCCTCATCCATCTCTCCTCAGAGACCCCCAAAAATCCTGACTGAAAAACAGAGCCTGAGCAAAGGGCGACATAGTGCCTGCTGGCATCTCCTCAGACCTGTTGGATGAGTTGGGGTTGGACAGCCACCTCTGGGGGAGTTTCGGGAGTGTCAGAGGGAAATGAAGCAGCTTGATTTGCTCACCCTGGTGCAGGTTGTGGATGGTACCCCTTGCTCCCCGGACTCCACCTCGGTCTGTGTCCAGGGCAAATGCATCAAGGCGGGCTGTGACGGGAAGTTGGGCTCCAAGAAGAAGTTCGACAAGTGCAGTGTCTGTGGAGGAGACAACAAGAGCTGCAAGAAAGTCTCGGGCTTGTTCACCAAACCCATGTGAGTGTTTGGTGACCACATGTGCTTGCCCTACACCCAGCTGTGCTTTTAAGGGTGGGGGATGCAGGAAGGTCATGAAGAGGATGATAGGGGATAAGTCCAAGTAAAATCTGCTGATGCTCGTGTACATCACTACATGGAGACCTGGGCTGGCTCTGAAGGAGAAGCAGGACACATTAAATGTGCTACTGGCTCCTGATGATGGAGTTAATCCCTGGAACTGTTGAGCTGAAGCATCTTGCTTGTATCTGTGCAACATCAGCCTTGACAAAACTCAGTGTAGGGAGGAGGTTCAAAATGGCCTTCATGGGAAGGAGGAGACAACTGTAGGGGTGAGAGGATCTCAGGGCTGTAGCTGCAGGGGGCTGAGGTCATGTGTAGCATGATGTCCCTGATGTCCTGCCCTGACTGCTCTTCTCTTCCAGGCACGGCTACAACTTCGTGGTGGTCATCCCTGCAGGTGCCTCCAACATTGACATCCGGCAGCGGGGTTACAAAGGGCTGATCAGCGATGACAACTACCTGGCTCTGAAGAATGCACAGGGCAAGTACCTCCTGAATGGCCACTTCATCGTCTCGGCCGTGGAGAGGGACCTGATGGTGAAGGGCAGCGTCCTGCGCTACAGCGGCACCGGCACCGCTGTCGAGAGCCTCCAAGCCTTCAAGCCCATCCAGGAACCCCTGACTCTGGAGGTGCTCTCCGTGGGGAAGATGACCCCTCCTCGGGTACGCTACTCCTTCTACCTCCCCAAGGAGAGCAAGGAGGACAAGGCCTCCTACAAGAAGGAGGGCAAGACCCCACCAGACCTCAACAACAGTGTGCTCAGCCTGTCCAACCGCCTGGATGGCGGGAGACCAAGCTACAAACGTCCCTCCTACAAGTGGGCGGCGGGTGGTTGGGAGGCCTGTTCCGTCACCTGTGGCGATGGGCTGCAGAAGCGCTCGGTGGCCTGTCGCGATTCCTACGGGCAACCGGCTGCTGAGTGCGACGCGGCGCAGAGACCCCCTGACGTCCGGCTCTGTGGGGAGCCCTGCCCGGCCTGGGAAGCTGGACCTTGGTCTCCCTGCTCCAAGAGCTGCGGACGGGGCTTCAAGAGACGGGCGTTGAAATGTTTGGTCCCAACTGGGCGCCTCCTACCCCGGGAGAATTGCAATTTTCGGAGGAAGCCGCAGGAACTGGATTTCTGCACCTTGAGGCCGTGCTGAGCAGGTCAAGGGGTGTCTGCGAGGAAGGGCGTGGTGTTCCTCTAGCTGGGTGCAGCTGAGCAGCAGCCAGGGGTTGGGAGATGGGGAGATGTCCATAGCACATAGCAAATGGGGGGAAAAGTAAGAAAAAATGGACAAAAAAGGGAGCTGGGTGTTGGGACACCCCACGCACCTGGGAGAGAGGGCTTTTGCCGACCAGGTCTCTCAGAGACAGAGCGGGAATGAACATCTACCTCGAAGCCACTGATTGACACGGAAACCACCAGTGGAGGCAATGGGAGTTGGGGGGGACAGATGGAAATGAGGAGCATCATCACTGCCAGAGATGGATCTATGTACAGGCAGGGAGATGCCCCTAAATTGCACAGTTGAAGCCTCTCCCCACCTTCCCAGGGCCAAGCCTACCTCCTCTCTCCCCTGACTCCTTCAACACTTGTGCTAAGCGGGATCAAAAGGATTTTACCAATGCAATGACTGACAAGGTGCTGGGACTGAGGCCTCCAGGGCTCGCTGGTGGTGACTTTGTGGTCCCAGCAGCGTCCCCAGGCCAGGCTGGAAGGTGGTGGCTTTATTTTCGTTCTCTCGTCATGTTTATGACCTGACCAGTGTAAATTTTATGGTGCTTAACTCTGTATTTCTTTAACCTCCTTCCTCCTCTCCTGATGGATGTAAACCTTGTGTAGCAGGGCCGGTGTTATTCCCAGTGGGATCTCACCTGCCTGAGGGTTTTCTAAGGTGCTTTGGGATGGGGCTCTGTGAGCATCCGGATGCTCCTTGACACCCCAGTCCAGGGCAGTTTGTAACCTGCCCACCTGAAGGCTTTCAGGGTTAAAAGGGATCACTGTGGACCTGAGGTTTGAGCTGTCATTGTAAAAAAGCAACAAGCAACTGTACTGTAGTACCACAGGGTCAGACACAGCCCCAGCAGTCACTGGTGCTTCATTCCACTCTGGAAATGGTGCTTGATGCTTAATGAGACCAGTATGCCATGCCCAGACATCCCACTGCCCTCTGACCTTTGGGCCAGGTTGGGATGTTTTTCCTCTGTGTTAAGCCCCCCTGAGATATCCTGAGCTCTAGCAGAGCTGGTGTAACTGCCTAGCATTGCTTCTGAGCTGCAGAAAGGGAAGATCAATTTGGGTTTCAGGCCCTCCTGGGAGCAAAGAGACTCAGTAGAGTTCAGTAGTGCAGGAAAAGAGGGAATGTTGAGCCTCTTGCTGCTGCAGAGCATCTACAACCACTTTCTCACTCCAGAGTCTTGTGCAAGTGGTTATTCTGTACCTCTGGTGGTTGTGCCCATTGTGGTCAGAGGCTGTTTTACCTCCCTCCAAAAATCATTTAACCATTGTTTAGGTCTCTTGCTAAGATGAAACAAGCAGGGACCATTTAATTTTTTGCTTCATCACTGATGAAGGTGCTTCTTAATTAAATTAGCTGTGACTGGGAGCAAGCCAGAGCATCTGGGTTGACCTACACAGTTTTGGGATCATCAGAAAGGGATTTTATGGATGAGACACAGATTTTGGGTAGGTAGAAGATGCTGTCTCAGCAGGTAAAGGCTTGGAGCTTACCTTGCTTGCTCAGTCCCATGGAGGTACAGCGTGGAAATGCCCCTTGGTTGGCTCCCAAAGGTCTCCAGCTGTGGGCAAGATAAGAACGATGACTACAACCAGGACAGTGGTGGCATGAGGGTTCCCTTGCTAGATCTTTCCACTGGCTTCACAAACTGCATATGACAATGTTTGTGGGCCCATCCTCCCTGGATTGATGTAATTCCTTTTTCAACACAATAGTATTCTGCGTCTCCACACTGCTCCACAGAGCCAGGAGCAGATGTTGTGGTTGCTCTGCACAGCAGGGAAGAGGATTTAACATTCTTAGGAAATCCCTCCCAGGTCTCCATTCCCGTGAACATACCATCCATTTTTGGAGAGTTTTCCCGCCGAGCCTTTCCTTTGGGGACAGAGCTCTGAGGAGCTGCACTTTAGTGTCTTGCCATCCCACAGCTGGTTTCCAAGCCACCAAGCAATTGTCACCCTTGATCCCAGGGAGGGCAGGGATTCCTTGTGTGAGGTTCTTTTGCTGAGAGTGCAGCAAAAGGACGGAGATGCCAATGGAACTGGCTGCTTTGTGTATACCATGTATACTGAACCTTGATCTCTGCTGTTTGTGCATCAATAGCAACCTGAAATAAAACTGTATTTAAAATTACACCTGCTTCCCAGTGGCACATGGTCCTGCCAAAGTTATTATTTGGTGGCTGCAGGGCATTTCAAGTCTTATTGTGAACCCAACCTTTTAAAGCCTTGGCTCATTAATTGAAGAACAAAACAACACCTTTGAAAGCCCAACAGGTTTATTCTGACTTGGTTCTGCTATAGGATTTGTTGTTGGTAAAAAAGAAACCCAAGCTGAAGGATCCCAGAGGAGGATCAGTCCCTGTGAGCCCCAAGGGTCACCACCAGCAGAATGTTAAATGAACAAGGCTGGTTTGCTGAAATCAGGCTGTTCTTTTGTCAGAGAATACAGAGTTAAAAGGATTGATGTAAACTGAAACAGCACTCACACATCCTGGAACAACCACGGCTGTGGTTGTGGAGTCAGAGCCCTCCTTCCCTGTTCCCCTGGGGCCCTTCCTTTTACTGGGACACATCAGCTCAGGGCTGCCTGATGTCACCCCCTCCAGCTCTCAGCAGACTGCCTGAGATTTTATTTTCCTCCAGCAAATGCAACTTATTTCTCTGTTACGTTGTATGATTTGGCAAATTTCGTGTTTTATTGGGGGGCAAGCTGTGCAAGTTTGGAGTTGGCTTCCTGCCAAATCTCCGAAACTTGACAACAGGGTCTCCTTCCCAGAGAGGGAAGGAAAAAAAAACGAAAGACCAGGCAGCCAAAGTTCTAGCCAAAATATATATATATATTATGTATAAAACAGAGATATACAATGAGAATTATATATATGAATCTATGACCCCAAATAGCTTCCCGAAGTCGAAGGGAGGAGGGGGGAAGGGAGAAGGGAAAAGGATAAAATAGGGTGAAAAGGGACAAATAATAAAACAGATCTACACAATCTAAAAACCCAGCAAAGCTGAAGAATTGGCAAGAGCTCACCACTTCCCTTGAAAGAAAGCAGTACGTCTGGACACGGCCCAGCACTCCCCCCTCACGCGTGGCCGATAACAGCAGTCACTGTAGGCCTCAGCTCCAGATAAGCCAGGCCCAGACAGGGACCACCGTTCTCCAACCTCGCCGGAAGAGAAGAGAGCGAACTCTCTTATCAAAGCCTTATTTATACCCTAGGTTACGTAAAGGAATAGCATGGAATACTTCCTTGGTCACCTTCCCAGTTCCTTCCTGGTTACAAGCTGGTTTCCAGGAAGGCCTAGACTGAAACCATCACATTCTCCACCCCTTATTCCATACTATTTCTTTACGTAACACCTGTATATTGTGTTCGTCTCTATCCCGCACATATACATATACACATATACATATATACATATATAGTCCATGTTTATTTTTTCTCGAAGGCTGTCGTCTGTCATTGAAGATCAGCACCACCAGCAACTCGATTTGTGTTCTTGGCCCTTTCGTCATAATCACAGTTCCGGTTTAGGGCTGGCTCATTGGTTTGGGCTGTGTCATCATCAGCCATCCTTGGATTCTCGTATCAGCTTTGTTCGGGTCTTTTTCCCATCTGGTGTCTGGTCTCCTGTAAAACACAACTCAAGGCACAGAATTAGTTTTTTCCCAGGCTTAGGTTTCCTTGAGGCACACATTGGATCTCTCCATCCTTCCTCATAACCCACCAGGTATATCCAGGCCCTTGAGCAAAGACAATCCCACGAATGGGTTTGTCTTGGCCTGAGGGAGGAGTGATCCAAACGGCCTTACCTAACATACCTTTTAGATGGATCGCTGGAACTTTGTCTCCATCTACAGTGTGGAGGGACTCTGCTTGGGCAGGACCAGCTCGGTTGACAGAGCCTCGGGTGTTGACTAACCAGGTGGCCTTGGCTAAATTCTTGTCCCAGTTTTTGTAAGTTCCCCCACCTAGTGCCTTTAGAGTCGTCTTCAACAGTCCATTACACCTTTCTACCTTTCCTGCAGCAGGTGCATGATATGGAATGTGATATACCCATTCAATACCATGCTCCTGTGCCCAAGTGGCCACTAGACTGTTTTTGAAATGAGTCCCGTTGTCTGACTCAATTCGCTCTGGAGTGCCATGTCTCCACAGGACCTGCTTCTCAAGGCCTAGGATGGTGTTTGGGGCTGTTGCATGCGGTACTGAGTATGTTTCCAACCATCCGGTGGTTGCTTCCACCATGGTAAGCACATAGCGTTTACCTTGGTGGGTCTGTGGCAATGTGATGTAATCAACCTGCCAGGCCTCTCCATACTTATACTTATCCCATCGTCCACCATACCACAGGGGCTTCAGTCTTTTTGCCTGCTTAATAGCGGCACAAGTCTCACAATCATGGATAACTTCAGAAATTACATCCATGCTTAAATCCACCCCTCGGTCTCGTGCCCATCTGTGGGTGGCATCTCGGCCCTGATGACCGGAAGCATCATGGGCCCATCGAGCTAGAAACAATTCTCCTTTCTGCTGCCAGTCTAGGTCTACCTGTGACACTCCTATCTGTGCAGCTCGGTCTGCCTGTTCGTTATTAGCATGTTCCTCATTAGCTCGCTTCTTGGACACATGGGCATCCACATGGCGGACTCTTACATTCAGATTCTTCGCTCTGGCAGCGATGTCCTGCCACAAGTCAGCAGCCCAGATGGGTTTTCCTCCACGCCTCCAGTTCATCTTCTTCCATCTGTCTAACCATCCCCATAGAGCATTGGCTATCATCCACGAGTCTGTGTAGAGGTAGAGTCTTGGCCATCCTTCTCGTTCAGCAATGTCCAGGGCCAATTGGACAGCTTTGAGCTCTGCAAATTGACTTGACTCGCCTTGACCCTCAGCAGCTTCTGCCACTCGTCGGGTGGGACTCCAAACGGCCGCTTTCCACTTCCGGTTCCTTCCTATGATACGGCAAGAATCATCAGTGAAAAGG